CAAATTGGTTTCCATACAACACCCAGTGCCCATCCCAAAAGATGTCCTCTTCAATGCCCAATTTTTGCTCATGATTAAAGAATTTGGGAAAGTTGATGACCATAGTTAACTATATACAATGTAAATATTTTTAATCTAGTTGCAAAATTAATTTATTTTCATTTATATAGGCATACATTGTTCAGAAATTATTGGCCAATGTCAACCACGTATCTGTTTCCATGGGAATTGTGGCAATATTACTGCAAGTAGTTTCATCTGTGAATGTGATGAACCATTTTCAGGTAAAAAATGTACATATAATATGTATATACACATGCAATACAAATCATTTTAATTGTTTTATTTCAAATTAAACTTGAAATGTTTCATTTATTACTGAAAAATGTCTTCAAGCAATGGTGTCTCCAGCCACAATTAGACACCTAAAGACCTCTTGTGGGAGTGCAACAAAAAATGCACGTCTTCCAAATTACAGAGAATGGTAATATTTCTTCATGTTTCTCTTGGAGGTCCTTCCTCCTAACTAAAATAATTGTACCTTGATCTTTGATCTCTAGAAATAAAAGGAAATTTTAAAAAACATACTTTATGTTGATTATCTGAACATTACCAAATAATATAAGCAGAAACTGTGTTTAGCCATATATATCTTTAATAGTATGTTGCTAATATTTTTATGAGGAATGAATTTTTCAATGTGGTCTTATTTTATTTTTTTTTAATAAAATTATACCCAAGGTTCATTTATAATTAATAAACTTGAAATTGTTCATGCCTTCAATTGACATTTAACTATGCCATTTTTTTTTTTTTTTTTTTTAATTTTTTTTTTTCAACGTTTATTTATTTTTGGGACAGAGAGAGACAGAGCATGAACGGGGGAGGGGCAGAGAGAGAGGGAGACACAGAATCGGAAACAGGCTCCAGGCTCCGAGCCATCAGCCCAGAGCCTGACATGGGGCTCGAACTCACGGACTGCGAGATCGTGACCTGGCTGAAGTCGGACGCTTAACCGACTGCGCCACCCAGGCGTCCCATTAACTATGCCATTCTTAATTGAGGCTATTTTCACTGAAATGTTGAGGCTCGTGTTAATCTCAAAGGAAATTTGCTAAATGGAAAGTATTCTCAATTGTTTTTTTTTGTTTTTTGTTTGTTTTTGTATAAAACACATAAGTTAGGTTTTTCATAGGAGCCATATTTTTATCCTGTTTGACATTATTTTCTTTGACAAATATTTTCAAACATTTACCTCATGAAATAAATGATCTCCACATATGATTCCTTTGAATATTTGGCCAATATTAGGTACTGCAACATTATAGGATTTCTCAATTTATTTCCATTATGTTCCAGTACATAAATTTATCCATGAAATATAGGATCCCCCTCATGTTGCTTTCCAAAAGCATAGTTATTCCAAAGCACAGTTATAGTACTTATAATATTTGCACTTCTGTACTGAGTATGTTGCATGTCTCTGTTGTTTTATGCAACAATAAATTTTAATTTCTTTTTAAAAATAAGGACCACTCACTAAAACTTTCAAAACCTGATATTTTGTGTGCTTAATTTATTAACTTGTTTGATTAAATGCTTGTTACTGAATGTGAACAAGATGCAATGAAAATTTAGAGGGTTCTTTCACTAAAATGTCAAAACTTCTCAGAGGCATTTGGGCTTATTTTCAGTCACTCTTCAGGAGCTTAAATATTTCTAAAATCCAAATGTTAATGGACAGCAGCAAATGAAAGTACATTTTGCTAAGTCACACTTTTTTACCCCTCATTCTAGCTTTGTCAAGAAAATTTTTCTGGTCCTGTGTATATTTAAAATTATTTATAAAATTTGCAACTATACTTTCAATTGTGTGAATATCACTAGTTTGTATTAAAATATGAATGATGTCTGCATCACAGTAAATTTCAAGTATATTTCCTTCCCATCCTTTTCTCAATCCCATCCTTTCCTCAAGTTGATCAAAATATTGTATATCTCATGTATATAACATATACTATATACAAAGATTATTTATAATTTTAACAGAACAAATAATTTTATCTTTGAACAACTTCACTGAATTTTCAAATACGTTCCTAATCTCTTCAGATACCTTTCCTTCAACAGAATAAACTTGTAAAGCTTTATTTTAATTCAATGAATTGGATGGAAAATTCAAACCATTATTGAAATTTACTAATGATTTATTTGAAGCCTCTAATTTTACTAATAACAAGCAGCTGGCATCTTTTAACTGTGTATGGATTTGTTGTGTTAATTGAGCTGACACATTTATATAACTATCACTTCACTTGTTATATGTACGGAGAAACTTGCAATAGAAAATGAGGAAAATTATTTTGGGGCAGTCATTTGATCTAAATGAAAAGACATGCTTCACAGAATGATCTGTAAGAATCCCTTCTGCATCTGCACCTAATTCAGCATTGGCAGACAGTCTTCTAAGATAATTAACATTTAAAATAGATGCTGATAATTTTTCAACTAATGTGTAACTTCTGATTTTCAAATAGTCAGTGATGTCACTAATATTCTGTGGTGGATCATTAATAGTGACATAGTATAGGGGCAAACTGCATATTAATGATCAACTTTCTGGGGAAACATACATCTGAAACTTTTTTCTTAACAATATAAGTTGTTTTTGGGGGGCATCTGGGTGGCTCAGTCAGCTAAGCATCTGAGTGTTGATTTCAACTCAGGGCATGATCTTACAGTTTGTGAGATTGAGCCCAGGGTCAGGCTCTGTGCTGACAGCACCGAGCCTGCTTGTGATTCTCTGTCTCCCTCTGCCCCTCTTCCCCACTTTAATGCTCTCTCGCTCTCTTGCTCTCTCTCTCTCTCAAAATAAATTACATTTAAAAAATATATGTGTGTATATGTATAGTTTTTTATATAATTGCATTTTAAGTATTTATATTAAAATAAGAAACATCAGCACAAAACAAAATATGTAAATAATAGTATATTTATGCCAGAGGCTTGCAAACTTTTATTTTTTTCTTTGTTTGTTTGTTTGTTTCTTCTTCTTCTTCTTCTTCTTCTTCTTCTTCTTCTTCTTCTTCTTCTTCTCCTTTTTTTTTTGCAAACTTCTGTAAAGGATCAAATAGTAAATGTTTTATACTTTTGAGCCGTATGGTCTCCATTGAGGTAACTCAACTCTGCTATTAGAGCATGAAAGGAGCCATAGACAATATTCAAACATATTAATCTGGCTATATTCCAGTAAAACTTTATTTGCAAAAATAGGTGTAAGGTCACATTTGGCTTAGAGTTATTGTTTATCAACCCTCAATTTATACCATACCTGTGATCAATCGTATGGCCAAACTTCTATAGCAAGAACATATAGATAACTCCCTATAAACTCTGTTAACAGGACTTCTTGTCCTCTATTTGTCTCTCATATAATACATGGCTATACTTATAATTCCCTGTGGTTACCACTGGCCCATTTGCAAAGGAAGCTTTGTGCTGGTAGGGCAGCATTATCAGATCCTTCTCCTCCTGTCCACTGAAACAATAAGTAGTGAGCTATTTGTAGTTTCTTGGGTCTCCAAAATCCAATAAGGTATCCTTAAATGAGAAATATAATATACTTTGCATCTGGAAAAGATTGGGAAAAGATAAGTAGGTTATCATTTGTTAACTTGCTAGTTTATCCTCATGTTAAACAATATGCTGCCTATGTATCTCTAACACTCCTAGAAAAGACCATTGCAGAATTTAAAGTACAAAGTGGAGATATATCAAACACATCTCTATTTATCTAATGAAAGTGTGAATAATGTTACTTTCTTAGAAAGTCCAGGACAAGTGGTAATTTGGTAAGTTGGGGGGAACTGTTATCTTGGCAACATTCTGTCTTACACTCCAGGGCGTAAACTGCTGTTACTGCCATGTGCAAACTAGGATGATGACTCCTTATTAGAAGATCTAGGAACTATTATAGATTGGGATATTTCAGTACCTATTTATTGCATTATTCTGTGACTTAAAGCTATAGACAAAAATGTACAGGAAGCAGCATATTTTTTTAACTTTGTATGTATACATGTATGTATGTATGTATCTATCAGTCATCAATTAATATAAATCAAGACAGCAAATAAATAAGGTGTAGAGTCACCACTCCTATTTTAACACTAGTGATCCTTGGGGCGCCTGGGTGGCTCAGTCAGTTGGGCATCCGACCTCAGCTCAGGTCATGATCTCACAGTTCGTGAGTTCAAGCCCCACATCGGGCTCTGTGCTGGTAGCTCAGAGCCTGGAGCCTGCTTCGGATTCTGTGTCTCCCTCTCTCTCTGCCCCTCCCCTGTTCATGCTCTGTCTCTCTCTGTCTCAAAAATAAATAAAACATTAAAAAAAAATTTTTAAATAAATAAAACTAGTGATCCTTTAGAAAAAAAAACATATTCCTCATTTCTAAGACACCTCAAATATTATGGAAGAGTGTGAATAAGAACAATTAGCCATGAGGTCAGCTGCAATCTCAGACATATAAAAGTAGAATTAATAAAGTTCTAATAAAAAACTGTATGAAATTATATTCTTTAATTGTAATTCCAAATTTGAAAATGTTATGTAAGATTTATGTATGTTATAAAGTGATTTGCTCTAATTTTATAACTTTGTAAGGTTTATTGCAAGAAACTTACTGTATCTTTTTGAGCAATTCAAGGAACCATTAAAATTTGCATTCTATAGATGGTTAGTCCTTGACTTACTTTCAAATATGATTTTGATAGAAGAACAAATGATTGTCAGAAAATAAACTCTTCAGTCTTAGTTTAGGACTAATTTATAGCTACAAAATTAATTTTAGTTTCAAGATTTAAGAAGCTTTATTTGCAAGGCAAGTTGGGATCTCTGTACCCAAGATGAATGATTTAAAGAAACCATAGCATGGCATTGAAGGAATAATCAATTTTTCAGGATATTGTAACCTCAGGTAACAAGAGGTCTAAATTGTCTAGTGGAGGATACTCTAAGATATTTTGTTAGTCTAAATCAGTTTAAATCAGAAGGTGGGCAGAATATTTTCCAATATAAAGTAGATTTCTCCATTTTTAAAACCCCTACCAGTAGGTAGAATTTATGGAAAATAGTATTTTGTTCATGGAAAGGAAAGCTAGCAGGAGCTAAATCAGATATAACTTTTTTCATTTTTAATAATTGAACTTTAATCCTACTTGAAACTCAGTTCTGATAAAGGTTGGGAAATTAATCTCAGTCAGTTCAATCGTGGTTCTAACCCCCT